GTAGCAGAATACATGTTGGCCTAAATTTATGAAGAAATTTGATTTTTCTAATGTTTTTATTGTATATGTTTTATAGCAGAAAGTAAATAATGTTTTTCTGTCAACATTTTCGATCTTTTTTCATTAATATAATAAACAATAAAAAGTCCAGTGGTACTCATATACCACCAATAGAAAGGTCTATTTGTGTGTGAAAAAATGATATAAATTTAATTTGGCTACAGTGTTGCACAACTGAGCAGTTACCTGTTAAAATAGTGCAATGCTGAATAGCAAAAAAAATTGCCTAGTCGTGAAGGGGTAAAACCTTCCAGAGCTGAAGTGGATAATAACAATAAAAAATAATTAAATAAATGAATGTTATTCCTGTGTTGCAATCCTGCAGGCAACCTTTTTATCTGACAGGAAGTGAAGGAATCTTGTTTTGGACCTGAAGTTCTAATCCTTCCCCTCTGTCCAACACAAAAGAAAAAACAAAAGGTTTGGCTACAGATAAACACAAAGGCATTACCCTCACAGGGCTGGTTTTCAGGATCAGCCAGATGAACGGAAAATGTTGAGTCTTCCTAGCTCTCCCAGACCACATATCTCTCTGGTGTCAGCCTGGTCAGAGTACCTCTGCGTACGGCCACACAAGCCTGGACACTCTCCTCCTGCATGTCTGTACACACTCTTCTCCTGCAACAATCGTATCCTGGCTATCTACAGAAGACTCTTGTGGACAACACTCACCTCTGTCCAATCAGTTTCACACCTTTCAAACAGAAACCAGTCTGTCATAATGTATACACACAGGGGTGCCTAGTTCTGCACCCCCCAGTTATAATGTACCCAGGAGGGACAGAGGCAGTGTCCTGCCCCGCTGCCTGCAGCCTATCAAGGTCTAAGGCAGACTGCAGCTGGAAAGGGATGAATGCTGTACTGTGTGGTACTCCCGTTTAGGGCCCTATACATTCAAGGATGATTGCCTGGAAGACAGGTCTTCTTCTACCCACTGATATGCATATTTGGCTTTAAAAAAAAAGAAGTGTGGACTTTTCTTTTCCCCCCAGTTATACTTACCTAGGTGGATGCAGAATCGGTCCAATGCTGCATATGTCCCCCGCTGCCAATAGGGGCGATCAACTGACCGCTGATTTCTCACAGCCGCTTTCAGCAGAGAGCGGTGACTGTCAGTCACCGCTCTCTGCTCTTCCCACTCTGTGCTCACTGAAACGCTGGGCTGTGGAGAGAGAGGGAGGGAGCGTCTGCTCAGACTCTCAGTAGCTCACTGAGAGGCCGAGCCAGGTGCCTCTCCAGTCTCTGGGGTGGATCCTGACTTTGGAGTCAGGATCTTTCCCCAGCCTGGACCGGCTGAGTGAAGTCAGCTGACAGTAGGCTTTAACCTGCTGTCAGCTCAAAACGGGTCACAGCAGTGTAGAAATAACTGAACTCCTGTGATTAACAGACGTACAGCCAAAAGAGCTTTAGCTGTACTTCTCCTTTAAGCTGGTTTTTCTATATACATCAGACAAGACAACAGCAGATACAAGAAATGCTTACATTACATGGCTGTGTTATTTCACATGTCACAATCACTAGAATAAGTGTTGTTATAAGGGATCAGCTGCAAAGCCACAGTCTGCCATAACACAAGCAAACCATTCCACATACTGCTTCCCTCGTACATAGAAGCAGCCTCTTGATATTCAGCACTGAAAATGAACAATGGCTGAGCCAGAACAGCTTGTCTTACTCATCTTAGAAACAACAGTGCTGATGTAATAACTCACATATAGACGGCAATAAATTAATAATAATAAAATGTCAGTGAATATAAAAGCAATTAGATAGAATAAATGTTTCTCTTACAAGGCTGCCAACTCATCCGATTAATTGCTGATGTACAGATGTTATGTGGGCACTGTGGTTAATTAGATATAGACAATGGTTTACCTGCAGTTAATTAGCACAGGAATCTATGTAATCCAGCAATAAAGGGATGAATTGGCATCTTTTGCTCTCCTATCCCTGCACCTTAGCTCACTATATACTGTATTTTAAAAAAAGCTTTGAAAGCATAATACGGTAAAAAAGAAGCCATGTAGCCAATATACTTAAAAGGAAATCATGCTGAAGCTGGTCACAGCCTAACAGTAGCAAATTATATGACAGACAGGCAAAATGAGAGGACTGTGTCATGTAGTCGTGAACATTACTTCTTGTCCTCACTCAAGTGTTTTTATGGTCAAAATGTAAAATCCTATATGCATTTCCACATTGCATTTTAATTGTAGTCTACTCCTATTAATTTCAATGATCTTGAGGTTTGCGAAGATCCCCACACATTTACTATCCACTGTGTCACAAATTTCACAAAGCCTGCCTTCTGAACTACAGAGGTGCTGAGAGGAGGAGTTTCTGGAGGCGGAGTCAGGCTAGGAATTATTGCTCGCAGGAAGCAAAGTACCATGGGATATGTAGTCCTTAATATTTTAACATAAACCAAAGGAATGAGCAGAGGAGAAGATGCAAAGCATGCAGGGAATCCAGGAAGGTGTGGCTAGAAATGGCCTGCAGACAGATTTTTCAGGTATGCTTATACTGCATTGTCAAACATAATTATTGCTTGTATTGTCATTAGAATGATGTTATAAAATAAAAGTGTATGCTGTTACTATAAATCTCCTTTAAATATCCATGCAAGTGAGTGCAAATGTTTATTATCTATGGAGAGTAATATTGTCACGTAGTAGTTGTAATACGAATACATCAGTTCCCATGATGCAAAAGACAGAAGGAAAATAAGATAAACAGACACTCTCACCTTGCCCAAAGTCGACCCAATACTCTGTGTATGGGGGTGCTTGTGAGCACCTTCTATGATGCAGTGCTCAAGCCTAGCAGCCAATCGCTGGGTCTAAGCACTGTCACATGACAGGAGGTCACGCCAACACTCTAAGCTCTGACACCATGTATTTTGAGGCAGCTGAAACAAAGTTGCTGGGGATTTTCTATAATCAGTAAAGAATATTACAATAGATGATTTAGCACCTATAGAGTCCATGCAATGCATAAAGAAACTCCTGGGCAAAGAGTCCAGTGATCCCGATGTTGTATACAGAGGTTTCTATCCAGATATATGACACAACCCAGTACTGGTAGTCACAGGTATCGGTTATTCCTCTAGAAGTGAGCTGTTCAGTCACTGCAAACAGATTGTGATCTGCCTTCCCCGATCTACTTTCCTTCATTTTGGCAATCATACATTATTTAAGCATAGATAAATATATTTGAGTGGTTGTAAATTAATTCTTTGCATGAAGGTAAAAAAACCTTCTGTGTGCAGCAGCCCCCCCATCCCAATACATACCTGAGCCCCATCACAATTCAGTGATGTGCACAAGAGCCTCTCCTCTCTGGATACCCCCTCCTCATTGGCTGAGACAGCAGCAGGAGCCAGTGGCTTCCACTGCTGTCAATTACAGCCAATGAGCCAATGAGGAGAGAGAAGGGGGAAGCTGCAGCTCTGTGTGCTTGCTCTGGGGGCACTTGGTGGGAGGGAAGGGCCAGGAGTGCCAGTGGGGGACAAGAGAAGAGGAGGATTGCAGCTGCTCTGTGCAGAAGCATTACACAGAACAGGCAAGTATGACAGGTTTGTATTTTTTTTTAAATTACCTTTAACCACTAGCCTACAGGGCACTTATACCCCCTTCCTGCCCAGGCCAATTTCCAGCTCTCAGCGCTGTCACACTTTGAATGATAAATGCGCGGTCATGCAACACTGTACCCATATGAAATTTTTATCATTTTTTTTTGAGACAGATAGAGCTTTCTTTTGGTGGTATTTAATCACCTCTGGGATTTTTATTTTTTCTTAAACAAACCAAAGACCACTGAAAATTTTGAAAAAAAAAAAAAAAATGTTTTTTCTTAGTTTTTGTTATACAATTTTGTAAATAAGTGATTTTTCTCCTTCACTGATGTGCGCTAATGAGGCTGCAGTGATGGGCACTGATAGGCTGCACTGATGGGCACTGATAGGTGGCACTGATGAGGAGGCACTTGTAGGTTGCACTGATGGGCATTGACAGGCATCACTGATACATGACACTGATATATGGCACTGATAGGCGGCACTGACTGGCAGCACTGATGGGTGACATTGAAAGGCAGCTCAGATGGGCACTGATATGTGGCATTGATGTGCACTGGTATGCACTGATGGGCACTGGCATGTGGCACTGACTGCTGGCACTGATGAGCACTGACTGCTGCAACACTGATCATCAGTGCCCTGATGATCAGTGTACATGTCCCCTCTGCGGAAAGCCGATTACCGGCTCTCCTCACCTCTTGAGCTGTCAGCGTGACAGTTCGAGGAGAGAAATGCCGAAAACCGGCATTTCCGTGTTTACATGTGAACAGCTGTGATTGGACACAGCTGATCACATGACCAAGCCGACATCTTCGGCTCTTTCCATGATCCGCTGTGTCTAAGGGACATAGCGCAGCAGCAATCGCTGCACTGCGCGCTCCCTGAGCCGCTCATGCACGGTGAGAATGGAAGGACGTCCTATCAGAACGAGAGAACCACCTTGCGCCCGTCATTGTACTATATGGCGGGCGGAAGGTGGTTAATATCACTTTAAGTAAACCTGTACTTTGTTTTAAATGACCAAAGTACAAGTTAATTTTAAGAGGAACTCCAGCAACTCCTTGCAGGATATGGTGTTAAATTTGAGTACTGCTGAGATTGCTAAATATATAGCCAGTTACAATTTTACCTTCTTTCCTTGGAATATGGGAATGCAAATAATAAACAAAGAACCTAGCGTCATCAGAAACGCTGTATGTGTGTTTATTCCTCTGCTAAATCATGCTGACTGCTAACATAGCATCCATAAGGCAGAACTGGGAAACTCAAGTTGCATCATGGGTTTATACTATGAGCTCATAACACAGGCAAACAGTATTCTAGAGGAACAGCAAAGGAAAGAAGACGACAAATATCATCTTACCTTAATCCACAACAAGGCAGTGTAATGAACCTGATAAATGCCAGCAGGACCCTCAGAGGGAGCAATGTGAAAACATACAAGAAAGCATCGAGGCACAGGAAGAACCCAAAGAACATCAGCTGAAAAGAAGAAAAAAAAGAAATGAGATAGTAGAACTGTAATATTAAAGTGGATCTGTCAACAGGTAAAATACCGGCCTCAGAGGTCACCATTCTCTGTCACAGACCACCATATAAGTTTCAGGTATGTGACTTGAATCTGTTTAAAGTGGCTGCAAAGGATAAAAGTTTGTTTTTGTTTTCTACCTTAATGCATTCTCTGCATTAAGGAAAAAAAAAAAAAAAAAAGAAAAAAAAAAACCCACACCTTTCATATTCACCTCCCCCCCCCCCCCCCCCCCCCGCAATAAATACTTAATTTAGTCCAATCCTGATCCTGCGGTCCTCTCTCTCCTCACAGGACTTCGTGGGATCAGAGGGGAGCCATTAGCTCTTGCAGCTGTCAATCAAATCCTGTGACGAGGGAGCTGAGTATGGCCACTCTGGTTCGAGTTGCCTTCCTGTGGTGACATATGAAAAAGGAGGAGGGACCCAGAGCACCAGCAGGGGACACCAGGAGAGGAGAGCCGGGGCTGCTCTGTGCAAAACCACTGAGCATGACTTTTTTTTTTATAAATAACAAGAGCTTTATTAACCATTGGTTCTGCTACTGTCAATAACAGCCAGTGAGCCAATGAAGAAAGAGCAGGGGGTTGCCGAGCTGCGCTAGTGTTTGAACGGACGAACAGAGCAGCGGCTTGGGAACTGCTTGCTGTGGGGGCACTTGACAGGTGGGAGGGGCCAGGCGTGCCATCAGGTGATTTGAGAAGAGTAGAATCAGGGCTGTTCTGTGCTACCATTAAAAAGAGCAGCTATTTGATAGATTTCTTATTTTTTTCTGCCTTTAATATCACTTTAGTTCTTCTCAATCACTTTAAAGCTTACATGTGATTTTATTTAATAGATTTAGACTCTCTTTATTCTTGTCATCTAAACATTTTTCTATATGGGTAAAAGATCTGGTTAAGTTAGATCCATTTTATCGATATAAATGGTATTGAGCTGGGCATAGACAGCACGAGTTTCCACTTACTAATGTTAAACTGACTAATTCAGGCCATGGCTGGCCCTGCAAACACCACCCAGCTTGACAAAAGTCAATTTAAAATTGACCAAGCTGGGTGGAAAATGATCAGCTGAACAGTGATCACATCCTATAAGATGTAGTAAATAGAATATATATGTGTAAAGCGCTGTGTAAATTGATGGTGCCAAGTACCTGAAATAAATAAACAGTAACTGTTCGGCAGCTCAATTGTATTCAGCCAGCCACAGGTGCCGCAGTTGCCTATACAAAGGAGATTCCTCCAACCATACGGTTATTGTGGATGGGGAAATCTCTTTCCTTTCTCTTGTGGACTGAATGGCAGAACACTGAGCCCTCTATGCCCTGCCTTCAACTAACACAACCTGTCAATAACGAAAAAAATTCATGAATAAATAGAATAAAGTAAAAGAAAGAATTACAAAGAAAATACAAATGACAAAGCTAGGGAACATACAACAATTTTTATTAAGATTTCAGTTTTAATGAATAAAAAGAAAATATATTGATATTCCCATGATAATTGTATTATTTTTCAGACCTCCACCAGTAAAATGAGAGAGTACCTGGTTTAAAAAAATACCATCATAAACCCCAGAACTTCATAAAAGACAATCTCGTGTGTCCTATATGCTTGTTATATTAACAAGGATTAGCAGAAAAAAACGGGAACCCTCATTTGTTTGTGATACTAAATTCAAGGGGCCACTCACTTCACACAGTTACCAGAATGTAAACTAAATCTGCAACCAACCAGACACCATTCTATTTTCATAGCCAGACTTCAGACACGGAGACAGTGAGATGGGGGTCCCAACATTTACAGTAGTGATCGCACAGCCGGCAAAACCCATGGCCGCAGCAAAAGAATTTTCCTGCTACATTTAGCTGTATGTGCTCATGAAATCTGCTGCCAAGAACGGAGCTTTCTGAAATTACAGTTCAAATGTCATTGGGCCCTTGTAGAACAACACTCTGCTGACAGCAGGTTCAGCACTTAACAACACCTGGCTAGATACTTGATGGCTGAGAATATAAAAACAGATAGAAGAAATCTCTGGGGATCTAGACATATGACACTGCAGACAGTTGCAGAGTTGCTGTTGGAAAAGAATTGGCTGAAAAATCGGAACTAGGATGAAAAGGGTGACCATAAAGATAATTTGATAATATAGCGTTCCAAAAGTTCCAGAAACTATGCCGATAACATAAATCATAACAAGGTCAGAAAGAAATAAATAGTTAGAAAAAAAGATTTGTTTTAAATTGATAATCCATCCTCTCTATTTAAAATGACAATTCACCATGAAATTGGCAGTGCTCTGCATCTGGAGTGGTTCCAGCAGCTGAGCTTCAGGCCATTTCTGGAGCCAAAACAAACCCTCCGGCTGTGTTCACATGGGCTGCACCTTGCCTAAGAGCTGTACACCATGTACAAACTGACAAAACATTTGCAAAGCCTTCAGGTAGTTTTGAGCAGCTTGTTGAAGCTATTAAAGCTCCAGTTCAATGATATTAAACACAAATCTAAATGGAAGTTCTAGCTGCCATTTCAGGCTCCAGCATTGCTTGAATCTTGATTAACCCCTTCATGATGAAGATAAAACAAATCTTTAACGCCTCAAACCAGTTTCGCAATTTTGACATGTGTTAGTAAAACTGCATGTCATGGCGGCTACCACGTGTATCCAGGTGAATTAGAACTTTTTTTTTTCAGGACAAATAAGGCCTTCATTTGGTGGTGAATGATAAAAGTTATCACCTGATTTTTTTCCTTTCAAAAGAAAACTGGCCCAAGATTGTTTCAAATTTAACTGTATAATTTCTTTACATACTGTAATCTACCACCAAAAGGACAATCCTAAACAAATTCTGCCTCCTGACAATCACAGTGACACCACGTGTATATTATTCGTTGTCTGTACCCATATTTGGACCCAGAAACAATAGTGCACATTTTATTTATTTATTATAGGTACTTCTATAGTGCCATCAATTTACACAGCACATATACATTATATATATATATATATATATATATATATATATATTACATTCACATCAGACCCTACACCCTCAAGGAGTGTACAATCTGAAGTCCCTAGCTCACATTCATACATACACATACTATGGCCAATTTAGATAGGAACCAATTAACAAACCAGCATGTCTTTGCAGTGTGGGAAGAAACCAGAGCACCCGGAGAAAACCCACGCAGGCACAGGGAGAACATGCAAACTCCAGGCAGGTGGTGCTGTGGTTGGGATTCGAACAGACAACCCAATGTGCTAACCATTTAGCCACTGTGATTTTTTTTTTTTAACATTCTAAAACACACTGATACTAAAAAAAAAATTTTTAGTATCAAAGTTCACCTTTGTTATTGTTGAGCATCCACCACCTCAAGCCCCCTAATCCCCTTTGAAAGAAAGAAAAAAAAAACACAGCCGTGCGGGGCTCTGCCCACACAGCCGTGTCATTCATTCACAGAATTCTGTGAATGGATGCCCACAAGTATCATCAGCCTTTGTGGCTGATGGCTTGTAGTTCTCATTGAACTGTGAGGGTGCTGGTGAGCGCTCTCGTAGTCCATTGATCTGCCTGTCATTTGGTAAGAGGCAGCACAGTGGCTAAGTGGTTAGCACATCCGCCTGGCAGCACTAGGATTATTTGATTGAATCCCAACCACAGCACTACCTGCCTGAAATTTTCACATTCTCCCTGTGCTTACGTGTGTTTCCTCCAGGTACTCCAATTTCCTCCCACACTCCAAAAACATGCTGGTAGGTTAATTTGCTGTCTAAATTGGCCCTAGTATGTGTATGTATGTATGTTTAGGGACCTTAGGTTAGGGACTGATGTGAATGTACAATATATATGTAAAGCGCTGCATAAATTGATGGTGCTATACAAGCAGCTGTAATAATTACCATTTTTTAAAAAAGCATGCCCATATCAGAGGTACAGGCAGACAGCTACACAGACAGTCTGCAAGAGCCTGACACTGCACCCCCAATCTGCTGATCATGGGTGCATTGTTTTACAGCGCTCCTAAGAAAAAAAAAACACTTTTTTTTTTTACCTGCAAAAAAAGTATTTTTTTTTTTTTTTTTTTTAATAAAATGAACTTATCTTGTAATCCTACCTAAAACACGCTAATCATGACTTTTGACCTTAATCCAGAGCGAGCTAGCTTATCTTTACTTACTTTAGCAAGGAGAACATATTCAATGTATCTTGTTCTCCTCCATTCAAGAGGAGAAAGTATACAGGGGCAGGCTGTACAGTTCATGATCGCTGTTATAGCCAACCACAGGTTCTCTCAGAGATCATGTGGTCGCAAGTCGGTCCTTCCAGCCCAAAGTAAAAAGACCCACTTCCGTGAGGCCACGTATGTGCATAGGCGTGCTGTACCGGTATTAAAGTTCTATTAACCTCTTCAGCTCTTTGGACGTGTCTGGTACGGTCTGAAGAGGTTAAACAAGCTCATGGCTACAGTATCGGCAGTGAGCCCATTTCTGTTTATTTTAGCAGACTCTGGACTTTTCTGAAGGGCCTCTTTCACATGAGCCTAAAGGTACAGCAAGATGACAAAATGTGGGTTAACAAGTGTTCAAGAGGTGTTTAAAATGCATTATGTCCTGTGTTTTTCCCAAAGGGGCTATATGTGAAGGGCCCAGAGTAAGCCATGGGGATGGAGAAAGGACATTTTATTTAAAGAAGAACTCTAGTAATGTATGCACTTTTATGCAAATGTGCTGGCCTATAAGGGGTAAGCCACCTTTGCTTATTTACAATTTACAGTGCAACAAGAGTATCACGATTGCCATTCTTTTGGCACTCTGACACTGGACTCTCGGATCTCCTCCAGAGAAGTCGTTTGCAGCCATTCTTCCTTCCCCTTCTTGTGTAATCATGGAGCACATTGTGTCATGTGTACCCAGCAGCATCTGCTCTCAGATGCCAAGAGTAAAGT